AACGGATGATTTCTAAAATACGTATCCACGTAGATATGTATCTGAATAATCTATGTGTTTTACCTGACGGACGATAAACTTTATACGGTTATTCGTTTCTTTTGTAACTAACTTATCAACTCATTTATCAATATTCTTTACTACTTCCTCACACTCACGTTTTTCACCTCGTGGAATATGGGCATCAGATCAGCATTCTCCGAACAACTCTATCATAGACTATCCTTTCAAGTCATTGTCAAGCGCTGCTCATTGTTTTGTTGTTTGCCTCAGATTCCCAACACAATATGTCTTCATGTCTACCTCATTTCATTTTGCCTCGTGAATTCTAATTCACAACTTGACTAATGAAGTAGTTTGATGATTACCAAAATATGCGTCCAACTTGCCTCCCGAATCCTTTCGTAAATTTCTCTTCAGTTAGATAGTTTTTTTTCTCTCCCTCAACCCGTTTTTGCTGATGGTTACTATTCAACGAATGTGGAGTGTCCTGTGTAGACAACTGTTGATGATGGTGGTCTCGACGTTTGTTCTGAGGATTGTCACTGTGGTAAAGACGCAAAGTTCTTCCAAACTCGATATTTTCTTCAACTGTAGCAATGTTGCTCTATTCCACAGCCTCACAATGAAGTTTGATTCGGTTGGTGCTCACCATGTTGTATTTCAGAATATTTCTTTTCACCTTGTGTACATTGAAGCCTACTGCTTCAGAGGCTGCTGACTAATGCTTGTCTTCGCACGAATTCGTTGATGCATATGGGATGAAAGAGCCAGGTCGTCTGAGAAATGTTAATTGTTCAATTGAGTTCAAGTTGTTCATTGCATTTCTGCTTTCTCTGACTTGCGGAGGTCTTTATGATCCAGTCAATATCTAGAAGAAAGAGGAATTCCAAATGTAGGTATGAGCAAGTATGAGCTTTTCTGTGTTGTGACATTTAACCCGGCTGATCATCACAACACTTATTCGTCAATCGGAATGGCGGGCGCGCAATTCTTATTTGACACGGGAATGGAAATCAGGGTTATGCTTCTTGTGAGCGATGAAATATATATATATATATATATATATATATATATTTACACCCGGTTTGTAGTGGTATGAACCACATCCATAATGATGAAAGAGACCAATACAAACGCCACATCTAGACAATAAGAAAACCAAAGCCAGAAGTTGATAGAAAGGATTTAACACAAACCACTGATCACTGAGTAGCAGCACATATCATGTTTGTCAAATCCATCAGCACTGATAGAATTCTAATCATCAAGTTACAGTGTGGACACTGATCGCATCGACAGAAATCTCTGGTTGACCTAGGTTTCATGCCAGTTGGCACTACTCAACAAGGCAAACAAACAATACTGACAGGATTGATGCTTCTTCTGGGACTCGAAGTCTCGTCATATATCTTAAGTGTGAAATGTTACCATCAGGGTATTCACGAAATCTATAACTATTTGATCAACAATATCATTTCAGAAATTACTTCCTTCACTTTTACACACAATTTATACACAGAAACTAGTCACTAAAAATAAATCCAAGTACTGCGTTACATATGCTTTCACTTTTACTTAACACCATTCAACTTCGCCACTCTTCCTGCGATTATGGTGAGAAGACTAATTTTTTAAAAGAAAATACTTTCACAGTTTCACATTGTTTCTTTCTCTCTTTCACCTAATTATTTCACCTATGAAACAATTCTGCTCTAAAATATGTGAGTTTGTGTGCCAGAAAGATGATGAACACTGGAAGAACACGTTCTAACAAATTCTATCAGAATAATAAGAATAATGATAATATCAAGGTTTGTAATCATTTGTTTCAATAATTTGTCTACACCTCAATACTAACTGACTCTTATCAACCAACTTACTATGTGACTAATCACCAAATTGTGCATTTTCTGGTTCAACATGGATAGAATCATTTTGAGGGGAGATTGTGTTTCATGTAAGCTGAGATTCATCAGAAAATGCGTCTTACATCTCCAGACATCTGATATTCACTGTGAAACTGAAACATGATGCTCATGGTAGTTCTTCATGGTATTTCTGAGGTCAAGAATGAAAGTAGGTGGTATGAGGACAAAACGTATTTCGCAGTTTACTTATTTACCAAAAACAAGATTATTTGAGTGTTTTCGGATACGTTTGTTATTCTGCATGTTCTGCAAACATACTGAGAGGAGTGAATTAATTGCCATTTATTTAATTAATGTATGACACATAATCATATATTTTTCCAGATCTCACTGAGAGGTTCCGTTCCAACACTGGTTGGACGAAGTATTTCTAAAGTTTTCTCGGGTTTTGAAAACTTTTGATAAGACAACTTCGGGGTTCACAACTAAATACACTTTTCCGAGTACCACATTCAGAGCTAATCTTGACAGGGGTTGACCTGTAGCGAACAACAACACAAGTGTGGACAATCGAATGTATTTGGAGACAAAATACAGAATATCTCACTCAAATCTGACATTCATACAGTAGGCAGTCCATTCGCAATCAACCAATCAATTGTCTAAATCCTTACTTTCCTTCAGCAAATATCAGCCTATAGTCTGTGGTTTCATTGTTCATGCATTTACATACCAATTGCGTGCCGTTCCCGTTCTCTGCTTATCGATCTTCTACTGAAATGCATTCAATGCACGACAATCGCCATATACTAATTTTGTGAATAGAAGTAGCCAACACCACATACCTCCTGTGGAACAGAAAAGGACTTAATGAATACGTACTTAATATTTATGTAGATATTTATGGTATCATATGCTCCACATTGTTCCTCTGAAGAGATAGAGAATGTAACATGTATGTTGAATGAAGGAGAACAACAACAAACGGAAATTTTTGTGTGAGTGCTAAATAACAATAATGGGACAGGCAGTTCAGTTAGCGAAACGACAACCAGAAAGAGTTCTTTCAGTTAGAGAAGCTATGTTTATTTTCTTCATAGAAATGAATGTTGGAGTACGATCATTACTGATTTCTTTTCCTAGTTATATCTAACAACATCTCTAGCACCATGCCACAATATTTCTAGGGCTCCAATCAGCAGCCGTGATGGACGAAGATAGTCTAATCTTATGCAGCTTCCCTTCACACCATGAAAGAATGTCCTAAACTGAAAATCTCTCCGCTTTTTCCAATTAGTCCCAGAGTCAGCAAATAATGCACAACTTGGGATTCTCAGAAACGACATTCCTAGGACAAGCCCAAGCCAACGAATTCGATATTTTGAGATAGTGATACTAACTGAATTATCGTCGCTGCGCCCGAATACAAGGTGCCGAACTTCTGCACTACTAAAATGATGTTGTCGCTGGACGTCAGCAATCTTTCGAAAACGACGATGATCAAGCACTTATTGTCGTCTAACATACTGAGCTCGGACAGTCCATGTTTCAAAAACACAGAGTAAAACTGCACTCACCAACGCGTTGAAGATCCGATCTTTTACAGTCAGCACAACATCACGAAGTGGCCGAAGAGGTTTCAGATTGGTACAAGCCACTCTGGCTTTCGATATGCGTGAATTGATCTCATCACTCACTCCACCACCAGCAATTACACAGCTATCGAGAAGTGACAACGGCCCACATACCATTATGAGCACCAAAGATTATCTTGTTGACGATCGAAACCCTGCCTCACGTCTCAAGAATTCTTCCACCTCCACGACTAACTTTTCACATTTATCTTTATCGTCACACGCTATCGATGCTCATTGTTTGAGTTCACGAAATGTTATATTCGGTCTCCTGAAACCACGCTCTAAACTACATGTTGGAGCTTATAGTGTTCGAATCTGGTATCAGATATGAAAACAGGCTTCCTTAACTAGGATTCTGGAATCCCGCGCCATCAAACACACATACAAGATCGTTCATTCATTATTAGAGGCGGTCTATTGAAAACTGTCACTCGTTCTGAAGCACATGTTTACACTCGGATCATGCTCTAGTTCGAGCAGGACCATTATTTACTTTCAAACCAGGAAATTGAACGGACCGACAAAACACTGTAGGGAACAAATAATATTTGTAATATTCCAATGAGTAGAAAAATTAGATTTGCTGACGTTTCGTGACTCTATGTAAGCCAATTCTTCAGAGAATAAATAACAAAATTCAAATTATCCCGTTTAAATAGCAGAAATGAACAAGGCATCTAATATTTTTGCTTTGTTCCTCTGTACTATTTCAATGGGTTAATTTTGATTATTGATTATTTGTCCTCTGAAGAAGTGGCTTACACTGAGTCACGAAATGTCAGGAAATCTGATGTTCCTACGGATTGAGATATTACAAATATATTACTTACTTACAATAATCTACTCAATTTGTTTTAAATTATCAAGTGAAACCTTGATAATGATACCTACTTTAATGGACAGTTCAATCGACATTCGAACACACTTCAGTTACCTTTTATTTTCAAGCAACCTGAGCTTCAAAATCTTCTATAACGTTTTCTGTGTTTTTGTTTCACTAATTTATACTTTATTTTTCAGTGGTATCTTCAATGCGTAGTCTTTCCTATTAGCAATGATACTGTTACTACCTCAAATATCATGAGACTTGGCCTAACAACATCATGAATTCGTGCTAATGGAGTAAGACATTTTGAGCCATTGTGATTGACTGACTGAATTCAATGATAGGAAAGAATGTCGATTGTTTTTCCACACTCGAGTTGTTTTCCTAAGATACCGATGAATAGTTATGGATAAATACTGCCTTTTATGTTACTCATTCGCTCTCGATAGATCACACAAATATATAGTAGTGAAATGTCAACTAAAAATATTCGTCGTTCTGAAGTATTTATAAAGGATTATGCATCATCTTGAACTGGGATCGTTTTATGTTATACATCTAGAGACTTTATTCACGATCTAAGTAGTAGCATCGTCATGTTTTGTTTAGTTATTGTTCAATTATTAATGAAACTTCACATTTTCATTAGTTTTCGTTTGCTTACAGATAATTGGACTGAAGAGATTAGTCGGAGTACCGGAAACTTGTATTACGTTAACCGTTTGAAATCTGAATCTACTTTCGATGTACCAAAAAGTGAACACTTGTCATTCACGTGAGTACATTGCTGTGATTACTTAGCTCAGTAATATAACTCAGAGAAATTACAAAGTACCAATTGATGCAGTCTGCATCTTTCAAGTACTCCATTTTTATCGTCTAAAGGATGATGGGTTTGAACTGTCGATCGAGTGGTTGAAAGTTGCTTGTCTAAATAACCTCAAATACCTCATTGACATACCGGTTACAGCGTCAGATTTTGGACAATTATGTTAAATATATTTGATTAGCCAAATATTTATCGTTGCTGTTCACACTTGAGGTGTTACGTAAAGATAAGAAACTTAAATAAGTTTCTTGATTTTGAAGTATCCCAGCTCCGAAATACTTAGACTTTGTCCTCTACACCTCTGATTCGATTGATGGTGGAAAGAATCTCCACTCTTCCAATCAAATGGTTCGTATCTAGCTGCTCATTTATGGCATCCTCAAGGGATGCATTACTACTGTCCAAAGATAAGATGAAATTACAGGTTTCACCCTTAAATTGTGTTGGTGATTGCGGATAGTTCATCTACAGGATTTGTTAGAAACAGATTTGAAATTAATGGTCTTTATGAGTTCCAACATTTTGAATAAACAAATGCATGATTCATTTTTGGTCACCAGATACCAAAAGACTGAGTCTGCTGAGGTTCCTTCACTGTTTTTTCGATGGAAAGGTTTTGCTAAAAGCAATCTTAGTGCTGGGCTAACTTGCTTATAATGTTTCTCTTTGCCTTCTGATTTTATGCATCGTTAAGGTTTGTATTATAACGGTTATCGCGGTGAACGATTAGCGAAGCACGGTACTACAATGTCCTCTACTTGATTTTGGCAGAATACGACGTACAACTTACGGCACTTCAACGTGTATAAATCCACGGCCGTTAAACCAGAAGATGGAAGAAGCAAGGGAAATGGTTACTGGATAAAAATGGAAAACGTACAGAAAAAAGATGGGTACTTATACGATCACTAAATCGGATCACGTAATTCACATATACAATATCCGATCGACAATAAAGAACCAGGTAGTAAGTTAATAATAATCTATTTAACACAATACAAACAACCTGTAGAACTCATCAGTAGAAATGGATTCAAATATTATTAGTTTTTCAGCGCTTCAGAATTCTGAGTGCCTATTTCAACTTGTTCATAAGTCATTTTGAGTCCACTGTCTCATGACATTAGTTTTCCTTTATTGTTGTTTTCGACTAGTTGGTCAGTGTCTTAAATTTGTTATCACTGCATGGGTACTTTCATAAGTGCTCACAACAATCAACAGATACATATACTTTCAATCGGCTGATTTTTGTAGAATGTGCATTCACTAGGCATAGGTACTCATCAGACAAAATATGGACATATTATCGATTAACTAACTACAGTATAAGTATGTCTGACCAGTCATTCTCAATGTGATGAGATAGTAACACCATAATTCTAACTTAAACATACAGGCGGATACATTTAGGCCGTAGAACATATAGTTGAAAATGAAACGGGGCAACTAAGATTATACCAAATAATATGTTCAGTTCATTTACTTCGTACTTTTACGTCCATATGATGCAGTCGCAAAGGGTACCCAAACCAAGACATGGTATCAGTTCATGACACCACTCACTGGTTGTTTTTAAACTATTCAGTTGGAGTTCACGATGACTGAAACTCTTGGGTAACATGAATCAAAATCGACCACTTACCCGGACATACACAATACTATATATTGCTTATGTTCAGAATTCAATCATATTCTCTGCCTTATCTTTTTCCACCATCATAGACCACCATTTTACTAGTACATTATGTATTTTATTCATTTCATCTCTTTTTACTGTGTTGGTTGTAACAAGTGAAATCAACGTACATTGATGCCGTAGCAGCAGCTCACGTACGATTGAGTTTGTTCATATTTAAATTGGTTTAACCCTTTTGTTCGCTTATTTAACGGATAGAGTCACTCGTACAGTAACAACCTATCTGTGCTATTGTAACTTTATGATTGTTGCACTTTTATGAATGTGTATGGTTGAGCATTGCCTACTGTCTACGCATATATTCATTCTGTTGCCTTTCTATTAGTGGCTCAAGTGATTCAATGTTTCATTCATTTCCACACTCGTTCATGGACTCGATCATCCTCTCGCTTACCGACCAAAACGCCGTGTCTGTCCCACGTCATATTTGATTAATTACCAATGTTTTCTTTCAAATCAAAGATGACTGATATTGATTAATTATCTTCTTTTTTACTACAATGGTAATTTGTTAGAGAATTCCAAACGGAAAAAGAAAGAATGGTTCACGTTCTAAAATAATATTTACAATGTTGGCATCAATCTATGCCGAGAACTGGAGGCAGACATGAGAATAATGAACATAGGTTGGATAGAAGTAGAAAAGAAGGTCCAAGACAGAGTGGGTTGGAGAATACTGGTCAGCAGTCTATGCTCCATTGGGCGTAACATGCGTAAGTAAGTAAGTAAGTAAGTAAGTGACAGTTCATAATGAAATTTTCAAAATTGAACCGGCTAAAGAATCTTCAATCTCTTGTAAGACCTATTCTCGAATGTCGTTTTAATTATAATAAATTTCTATGAAAAATATTTACATTTCGAAAACTAAGTTTCTTATCAATGGGAAGAACAATCAGAAGGGGTTTTGTGGAAATTGATTATTTTCATAGTTGAAAGCATGAGTCAATTGAAGCTAGACGACTAAGGAAAATCTTCAAGCATTGAACGGCCGTTTCGTCCTATTGTGGGTTCGAATCTCGCGAGGCAAAATTTTGGATGTGCACTACTGAGGAGTCCCATAATGATACAAAACGGTCGTTCAGTGCTTCCAGGGTTTTCCTCGGTGGTCTAGCTCCAATTGATTCATGCTTCAACTATGAAAAAGAAGAATATATTTGTAAAATCTCAACGAATGAAACTGAAGTGAATTCAACTTTTCGCCCTAGCAATATGTTCAATGTCTGCGCCTCAATGGACGCAGGAAAATTACACTAAGAAGACCCATTAGGATTGAACCGGAGGACGAGAAAGCCAAATGCGAATTCCAGAAACAACTGAGTTCACATCTAGGCAGTTCTGTAAACGAGACTGACCCAGATGCTGCTTGGAAAGACATACGAACAGCTGTGGAAACAGCAGTAACATCTATTAGTCATTTAAACCATAGGGCTCCAAAAAACCAGTGGATTTCCTCTAAGTCTATTTCACTGATGGATTCGCGTAAACTCATCCCATCAGGCTCTGAACATGACGAAGAGCGTAAACAAATTAGATCTAGGTTAACTAAAAGTCTAAGGAACGATCGTGAGCAGTGGTGGGCAACGAAAGCAAAAGAGATGGAAAAGGCAGCGGCTGTAGGCAACACCAGGCAACTATTCAGACTAATAAAAGAAACCGGAATTAATAAGTCAAGTGTAAGTGAGACAATCTCGGAAAAAGACGGAACCCTTATCTGCTCTCAACCCAAACGTTTAGAACGATGGGCGGAACACTTTAAGGAACAGTTTAGCTGGCCTTCAGCTACTGCACAACTACCCACTATTCCTAGAAAACCTGAATGATCAATGCTTGTTCCTTGGAATTACTTCAAATTCAGATTTTACAAATACATTCTTCTCCTTCCTATTTAATGTCTTTCATCAATTCGTCACCGTAATAGTGTGAAACTATTCCATCTAATTTAGATGAATGTTCTTCTATCAATTTCTTTTCTTTCAATAATAGTTGTAGAATGTCAATATCATATTTTTTATTAATTTCATATATACTACTTAAATCATAACTGGTCCACTGTATTGATTCATATTTACTTGATTTGTATTGACTGTACAGACTCCTTGTGGAATATTACTTGTGATATTATCTGTAAGGACGGCCCGTCGGTAGACTCTCGGAAGCCCTAAGAAGCCCAGGAAGGGCCGCAGACATTCCATCCAATCACGGCTTGGGGAATGTTCTAGAAATGCCAACGTGGAGCTTCTCCATTGGATGGATTAGTTTGATACCTATGTGCTTATTGGTTGACCTAAATGATAATTTACTTTCAGCCAAAAACTATTAATACACGAGATTTCTGTGCTATATTTTGACACTGTTGGGGCAATTAAACTTCCTGCTTACCAGTCTTTGTCTTCTCTCTTTTGCGACGTTTTGCGGGTTCTATCGTTCAAGTAGTCAAGTAGTTCGCGGCATATTAAGAATCAAGGCTCTAGATATAACATTATCACCTTACCTTATCGCTCGATCCAGATTGCAACTAGGGCATATTATAATAATTGCCACCGACTGCATAATAAAAGCACCAGTAACATTGGCTGCAATAATCGCAGATGTTACTGAAGCTTCGGCTGTTCAGTGGTATGAGTAGTGTAGGAACATATCCATAATAAAAACAATAAACTTACACAACGGGAGTACACAAAAACAATAATGAAGCTATGTGGTGGAGGCTGAGAGGGTTTTTCCGACCTTATCATGGCTCCAGAGACCAACTATTGTGGAGCGATATGGAGGAGTTCCTTTACCTTATGCATTATGGTTTTGGAATCTTTGAACCTTTTTCTAACACTGACGAGTTTTGGGACTATATGAAAGAAGTGTATCCACCTCAGTTATTTGGTTTTGTATAATAAATTTTTACTCTGTACTGACTGTTTACTGATTAGCTAACATTTCTCAAGGTCATTTAAGGTTCGTTCAAAGGTCGTCCATAAATTTTAGTCTCGACGAAATTATTAGACGAAAAGATCGCCAGATCATATTTATTATTTAGGGTGATAAACTTTAAGCGGAAATCGATATAATAGTTCCATTTGAAACTAGATGTGTGAATTTCATCCATATTTCTTTTAGAAAGTAAGATGTTTATGGTTAAATTGCCTGACATGTGAATGGTACTGGAATCGGTAATACAAACTAAAAGTTTTTAAGTGTATTGTACTGACTGATATAAGTAGTAACGAAAACACAGACTGAACTGAACTACAAAACGATGGAAATAAGAATAAAGAAAGGGAGGATTCTCCTGAGTTGTTTACACCGTAAAACTGCAGTGTTAATTAAATTCACTTAGTATTACTTGTTTGAATCTTCTCATTGATGTTTAGGACTGCAACTGGTCAGTCTCTAGTTGGCATGTGTGCATACTGTGCGTATTGCCTCGATATAGGCCTAATTCATAAGCATTGTAAGCAAAGATGAATAGTGGCTGGCAGTGGAATCCAGGATGCGCGTTTCGTTCTATTTGGGACTCATCAGCGAAAGTGAACATCAACGCTGAGATGCAGGTACATCCAGCCGACGAATCCTAAATAGGACGAAACGTGCGTCCTGAATTCCACGGCAAGCCAATATCCATCTTTGCAGTATTAATTGTCGAAATGAAGCAAGGATATATATGTACATCGGAAACGTATACAATAAATCGAGTTAATAAGTAGAGGAAGAATAATATTGAGAGACACAATACGCTAGAATTGACACTGATCAAACGTTTGATTATTTATAGGCTAAATATATGAATATTTTAGAAGACAATGGTAACAGAATTTCTTGAAACCGAAGACAGATTACGTAACACAGACTCATTGAATAAAACTCAGGAGTAAGAATAAGGATAGTAGAGAGTTTAACCAAATTTGGAGAAAGGTGTCTTACATAATAATCTCACAAAAATAAGTTTACCAGGACAAAGCAATATTGATAAATGAGCAGAGATGGATGATGGTTATCAGAGGAATCCATTACACATGTTCCTTCCCACTTGAGACTCGTCAGGCTGATGAACTTGCCTCCCAGAATTGATGTTCACTCCTGTAGTCATTCCGGTGTTCGGCACCATTCATTTCTGACTGAAATTGCTTGCAACTTACTGCAATATCGAGGCAGTCCACACAGGATTCACGTATGCCGAAAGAAGTTGATCATTTGCAGTCCTAAACAATAATGGGCTGATTCAACCAACCAATATACATGAATTAAAATAAAGATTGATAACTGTTTCTATTTGGATACATAAATTGGATTTAAATCTTTTTATAACAACAGCTTCTGAAAAGCTTAACAATTTCGTTTGATTATTTGGAGAGATTTTGAAAATTCAACAGCATCCTCACTGTCGACCAAATGTTGAGAAATAGTACTGTCGAAAACCTTCTCTCTCTGTTAAATCTCAACTTTTGTGGGATTTTTTCGTAGATGCGGATACGAACCCTCCCGACATACGTGCTTTGTAGGGTACGTGTAAACTGATAAACACAATTGGAAATAACATAAAACGGGTATTTTTTTTCACATTTGATTGTCACAGTGAGCAATTGGTTTGTCATAGAGACACCAACTTTGTAGCTGGATAAGTGCTTTTTTATAATCCAAGTTTATAAATGATAAAATTTGTATACATGGTTGAAATAATTAAAAAGGGGCTTGTGAACTGGTTTTGATGGTATAACTTATGAAAAAGAGATTTCTGGTTAGCATTGTTTTAGTGAGTTGATTTTCTACGGCATGGAATCGCTAACCCCATGCCCAACCCTCCTCCTTTATACGGGCTTGGGACCGATTGTAGCCCCCGGAGGAGCTACAGTCGGAGTTATGAAAAGAGATCTTTGTGATTAAATCCAAAAAGCTATGGTTAGAGTCTCTAATGTGTCTAAAAAATTCAAGAATGATTTGATCAGAAATATTTTTTGGATTTAGTGAGTTATTAGCAGTACACTTATTTCTGGATCTTCTACCATTTCGTTGCAAGATTTTGTGTAGACCGTAGTTACTTCTTTAGTTTACTTTTAATAAAAGTATCCAAACAGGTTGAATTGACTTTATTGTGCATCAACTGAACTGGACTATTGAATTTTTAAATCATATTTGCTACTCATCACAGATTAAGTAAATAAACTGATATGAGAAGGGGTTTCTTGTGGAGATTTTAGTAATTTTATAGTTGAAATCATGTGATGCAGTCACCGGTGGAGTTCAACCAGATCTGTTGTGAGATATCAACTCAGTAAAGACAATGATGAATGGTTGCTCAATTTCGTGGATTAGTTGAAGTTAGACATTAACACTGTTGGATGCCTGCCGGCTCAGTGGTGTAGAGGTTAAGCGCTCGCGCAGTAGACTAGTAGGTCCTGGTTTCGAATTTGGCTAGTGGGATCGTGGATGCGCACTACTGATGAGTCCCACAATAAGACGAAACGGTCGTTCAGTGCTTCCAAGTTTTCCATGGTGGTTTAGATTTAATTGACTCATGATCTCAACTATTAAGATTCATAGATGTTATGTTAAGTGGTGAGAAATCGTTCTCAGTTATACTACTTCAAGTAGTTGTTTTACACATGAGTAATAGCTTTCATATATTTGGATTGTCCGTAGTTTTGTCTAATAAAATAAATTTGTTTGGGATGTAGTTCGTTTAATTCAAGTTAGTAAAACACTTTCTTAATGGTCCATATTTGCTACTGATCTTGTATGGTAAATATTTTATATAAGCTCTGCTGTAACAACACATACTTTCTTCCGTTGCCTGTGATCTTGCACGAACTCGAGTATGCTCGGTAGTTCGGCTTGTAAACTTTGGCACATCTCGGTATTCTTTCGATACCACGAGATTGCCAACGAATATATCTTATTTCAACTGTTAACAGCCTTCTGATTTTTGGATTACCAAGGGATCCAACTCGATATCTGGCACGTAATCTTTTTGTAGTGGTGATCATAGTCAATCGTGATTCGACGCCATCTACAAGCTCTTACAAAAGATTAGTCTCAAAATGTCCTCTTTATTTTACGCTTCATATTTTAAGTTAACCAAGTTGTTGAATCATAGAATTTCTGGTTAGAAATTGAGACTAGAGAATGTGAATTGTAGCTTTCTTGTTTGCATGAAATTTTTGGATGTGTAGTGCGAGAAATGTAATTAGACTAGAATTTTTAAAAAAACTTCTATTTATACTTTCCTACTAATACTTATAGTTCATGAATATTCTAGCAGTTCATTATGTCAAGTGCATTCCACAAGGTAGGTTTTTATAAATCATTAGGGCGACCAGACCAAATCATGGCACAAATCCATGAAGTTACTGACAAGTGGACTGAACCATGTTGGTAGGTGTAGATCACCTGTTATTCGCTTTTCGTCCTCTCAATTTCGTAAACAACAGTAAAGCCACGAGAATGCATTAAGTAGGACTTCCCTGACAGAGGCTATATACGTGTGGCCATGTGAAAGCTTATGAAGAGAGAGAGTGGGCTCTCCTCACTCTCGATCGTATCAGGGCATTTGGAGACACTAAGGTAATATTAGTGCCGTTTAAAAAGTGAAAGAAGAATGCCTTCGATTAATTCCACGAATAAATAAAAAAACATAGAATATACCTTTGTCAATAGTTTACTTAAATGTTTAAGAATACCTAAAATATGTCTACTATAAATATATCGAAAGTAGAAAACAAAATCAGTCAAGTCTCGTTTTTGTATCACTATGCCATAATCAATTACTTTATATAATTTAACACCATTCATAAGGGGGTTTTGTGGAGATTTTAGTAGTTTTATATAGTCAAGATCATGAGTCGATTGAAGCTAGACCGCCGTGGAAAACCTGGAAGCACTGGACGGCCTCTTCGTCTTATTGTGGAACTCCTCGCGGGAATGGAACCCAGGACCCAACCAGTCTTGCGCCAGAGCACTTAACCGATAGACCATTGAGTCGGCATCCAATGGTGTCAATGTCTAACCTCAACCAATCCATGAAATTGCACGACCAACTTCCATTGTACTGAGGTAGATACCTGTCTCTACCTGACATAGATTAGCTCCACTGGCCACGAATTCTGCGAGGCGGGGTCGTGGATGTACACTGCTGAGGAGTCCCACAATAGGACGCAACGGCCGTCCAGTGCTTCCAGGTTTTCCATGATGGTCCAGCTGCAATTGACTCATGATCTTAACTCTATAAAATTAACACCATTCAATTAACTTTCCACTTAGATGGGAATATAACAAATTGAAAATGGATCTAAGTATCACATGAGACTTTGGATTATTCTTAAAGTACATTAATAACCGTAGTGCTAATCATACTCTATGCAAATTATGATTAATTGTATGATTTATCTTATTT